GAACTCGGGACCTTGTGCTTGCGAGGCAGGTGCCAGAACCACTGAGCTAAATCCCCAGCCCTGGTCTGGGTTTTGTTCATGAAGTCTTTGGCTACTTCTATGTCCTCAAGCGTTCTACCTATTCTCTCTTCCAGCAGATTTAGTTTCCATTTTAATATTTAGATCCATTTTGATTTTAGTGCGTGGTGAAAGATATGGGTCTAGTTTCAATCTTCAGCATGTGGAAAGCCAGTTTTTCCAGCACCATTTATTAAAGAGGCTATCTTTCTTCCAGTGAAGGTGTTTGGCTCCTTCGTCAAAGTCAAGGTGGCTGAGTATGTCTGGAGATGTTTCTGCATCTTCTAATCTGTTCCACTGATCCCTCAGGTCTGTTCTTTTGCCAATACCATGCTGTTTGTTTGTTTTTTTAATCACAGTAGCTTCGTAGTATAATTTCAAGTCAGGGATTGTAATACCCCCACCTTGCCTTTGTTGTCCAGAATTGCCCAGAATTGCCCAGAATTGCCTTTGCTATTCTAGGTCTCTTCTGGTTGCAAGTGAATTTTAGGATTGTTTTTTCTAATTCTGTGATATATGCTTTTGGAATTTTTATGGGAATTGCATAAAATCTGTATAACAATTTTGGAAGTATGACCATTTTCACTATATGGGTTCTTCCTATCCAAGAACAAGGGATATCGTTCCATTTTCTGATATCCTCTTCAATCCCCTTTTTCAGAGTACTGTAGTTTTCAGTGTAGAGGTCTATTACTTCCTTCCTTAGATTGATTCCTAGGTATTTCATTTTTTGGGATGCTACTGTGAAAGGTGTTGTTTCCCTAATTTCTCTATCAGTGAGTTTGTTATTCATGTTTAGGCTTTTATAAATTGAGATAAAGACCACCTATACCAATTTTCTGTAGGTTTTTTTTTTTGTCATGAATGGGTGTTAGACCTTGTCAAATGCTTTTTCTGCATGTATTGAGAGGATCATATGGTTTTTGTCCTTGGCTCTGTTAATATAGTGTATTACATTTACTGATTTGCATATGTTGAACCATCCCTGCATCCCTGGGATGAATCCAACTTGGTCATGAGGTATAACTTTCTTGATTTGCTGCATTCTGTTTGCTAGTATCTTATTGAGGATTTTTGCATCTATATTCATTAGGAAGATTGGCTCTGTTTTTTGGTTGGATCCTCTGATTTTGGAATCAGAGTAATGCTTGCTTCCAGGAATGAATTTGGGAGTATTGCTTCCCCTTCAGTTTCATTAAAGAGTTTGAGGTGTAGCAGCATTAGGTCTTTTCTGAATTTCTTGTAGAATTCAGCAGTGAATCTACCAGGGCTGGGCTTTTCTTTGTTGGTAGTTTTTCAGTTACATTTCAATTTAATTGGCTGATATTGATTTATTTAGAATTTTTATATCTTCTTGATTCAGTTTGGTAATTCATATGTATTTAGGAATCTGTCCATTTCTTCTGTATTTTCCATCTTATTAGAATACAGTTTCTTTTTTTTTTCGGTACCGGGGATCGAATGTCTTGTAGAATTCAGCAGTGAAGCTGACAGGACCTGGGCTTTTCTTAGTTGGTAAGTTTTTAACTACATTTTCAATTTCATTGGTTGATACTGGGTTGTTTAGAATTTTTAGGTCTTCTTCATTCAACTTTGGTAATTCATATGTATCTAGGAATCTGTCCATTTCTTCTGTGTTTTCATCTTATTGGCGTATAGGTTCTTAGGATGCAACCTTAGACCCAATCTAGGGATGAGGCCTGAGTGTTTTTTTGTTTTTTTTTTTTGGTACCGGGGATTGAACTCAGGTCCTTGCGCTGCGAGGCAGGCGCCGGAACCACTGAGCTAAATCCCCGGCAATATATATATATATATTTTTGGTACCGGGGATCGAACTCAGATCCTTCCACTTGCAAGGCAGGCGCCGGAACCACTGAGCTAAATCCCAGGCCTTGGCGTATAGGTTCTTGAAGTAGGTATTGATGATCTTTTGGATCTCTGCAGGATCTGTTGTGAGTTCACCCTTTTCGTTCCTAATTGCATGGATTTGAGTCTTTTCTTTTCTTTTTGTAAGGTTGGCTAAGGATTTGTCAATCTTAATCTTTCAAAGAACCAACTCTTGGATTCATTGATTCTTTGTATTGTTTTCTTAGTCTCCATTGCATTAATTTCTGCTCCGATTTTTATAATTCCCTCCCTTGGCTCATGCTTTTTAAAAGACAGTGACATATAATACACTTATATTTGAGAACCATTAGTTTTATGCATATTCTATGCACACTTAAGAGGAAGAACCACTGGTTTGGTTCTCACCTTCTACCTGCAAATGGCTAATCACCATTTTGCCCAAACAGGGACAGCCCTCATTCTAAGAATTTTTAAGTCATTTGTTAGGATTATATAAATAATGAAAGTTATCTAATATGAAAGAAGTGGGTACGTGCTAAGGATTTTGGATTGCATAAGCTTGTTCAGTCTTCACCCTGAGGAAGGTGTTTCAGTCATTGGTACTTTTCATGATGTAATATATGTATCTCCTTTTTAACATTAAAGGATGGCAACATCTATATCTTTAGGAAGAAAGGTATGCATAGTGCGGAGTATGGTGCAGTGACTGGCATGGAGGAAGGGCTCAAAGGCTCACTGTTCCTCTATTCCTTCATCTCCTTCTCCAAAATAGACCTGCTTCTCCCACCATCCAGAAAGCTATCATCCCTGAAACCAATTTTTCCATTCTTCTAGCATCTTGTTTCCATTTTTCTTTTACTTATGTGGTTTGTGATTTTACTTTTACTTACATTATTATTATTAAAACTATCAAATCTCTTCAATTATCATAAATTCTGCAAGTTCCATAAAGGCAGGGGCTGCAATTTTGTCACTGTATTACTCTCTAACATCCAATATAGGGCTTGGGATATAGAGGTCTTTTAAAAATGTACACCTGCACAGGTACAAATTCCCAATGATAAATGTGATCATAATATATACCTAAAATGTACCAATAAACAGTGGAATAAAAAAAATGTACACCTGGCCACATCACTTTTTGCTTTAAAGTTCTCCAGTGGTATGTGTATTGGACTTTTTTTGGTGGTGATTGAGACAGGGTCTCACTATGCAGTCCAGAGTGGACTTGAACTATGTATCCCAGGCTGGCCTCGAACTTGTGGCAATCCTCTGCTTCAGCCTCCCAAGTGCTGGGATTACAGGCCTCCGCCACCACACCTGGCACATGTATTACACTTTGCTTTTTATTTTTATTTTATTTTTTGGTACCGGGGATTGAACTCAGGACCTTGTGCTTTCGAGGCAGGCGGCAGCACTACTGAGCTAAATTCCTGGCCCTATTTTTTGGTTTTTAGATAGGGTTTCACCATTATTTCGGGCTGGCCTTGAACTTAATGATTCTTCTGCCTCAGCTTCCCAAATGATGGGATTACAGGCACACACCCCTAGAACTGGCCTACTTGTTTTTCTTCTGATCCTTAAATACATCTTGGTGTTTTCCCACTCAATTTGTTCCCTCAGCTTGGAAGCTCTGCTTAGTTTGTCATTCTTCAGGCCTCAGTTCAAATTTTACCTCTTCCTAGAGCCTTCCCTGACCATTTTGTCATGTTCCAACTATCCTTTCATCCATATTCTTAGTCATGCACTGTTTCTTTTTTGAAATATTTTTATTTTCAATAGACAGTTATTTATATATTTATGAGGTACATTATAATAATTCAGTACATATAAACAATGTGTAATAATCAGATCAGGATAACCGATGTATCTATTGCCTCAGATGTCATTTCTTTGTGTTGGGAACATTTCAAATCCTTTCTACTAGCCATTTTGAAATACTGAGTTAGCTGTGTCAACCATAGTTATCCTACTGATGCACTGTTCTGTTTTATTTTCTTCATAGATCTGTAATTTCCTTGTATAATTAATATTCATTATTTCACCTAATATTTGAGCACTTTTCATACATTAACTAATTAAGTGGTAATGATTTGTAGTGTTTGCTGATTTCCCTTGTGTAAATACTCCCACCTTAAGGGACTTCAAACTACCATCTTGATATGACTGAGAAGAGCAGTAGTAAATCATTACATAGTATTTGCCATACTGATGCAGTAATAGTAAATAAGCTCAACACAGATTAAACAAAAATTTGGTTAAACAATTAGGAATTGATGAGTTTAAGTACTTATTCCCCTGTTTTTAATATAATTTAGCTGTACATTTATATAATTTCATTTTCAATAACAGCTTTAAAAGCGACTGACAAAAATCTCTAAACGTTCCTTAGTTGTCTCTAGTCAGCCTACAACTAGCACATTTTTCAGACAAGGGTCCTGAGGCACTGAAGGGTTAAGCAACTTGAAGGTCGGACAGAATAAATATACTATACAAAATGTATGCTCAGAAGACAATATAAGTCTGGCATACAATTGGCGTTCTATAAGCAACTGCAGAATAAATACAAGAAAACACTCTGAAAAAAACATAAAAGGTAACACTAAAAACACACATGAGTAAAACTATCATCTCTTTATAACTCTCACAATTCTAGGAAGAGAACTACAGTACTTTAGCTTGTACCGGCGCATTTTTTACAGATCACCTGAGTTCGAAGAAGGCGTTCCCCAACCCTTTGCTACAAGATTGATAAACCCCACTTTCCGTAGTCCTCCCTGTCTCGCCGCGAGGCTTGCTGGGAGTGGTAGTTCTCAGGCTTGGCACCTCCAGCGGGTGCATCGGCGCGCGTCCGGCTGCCGAACTACAAAGGGTGGTGCTCAAAAATGCGAGGTTCTTCCGCCTTGTTTTTTTCCTCCCCGCCTGTGCGCCCGCCCCAGTTATCATGGCGGCTCCCTTGGCCCTGGTGCTGTTGGTGGCAGTGACCGTGCGGGCGGCCTTGTTCCGCTCCAGTCTGGCCGAGTTCATTTCTGAGCGAGTGGAAGTGGTGTCCCCACTGAGCTCTTGGAAGAGAGGTGAGGCCACCCGCCTGAGTAGGCGGTCAGGCCCGGCCCGCGCTGTCCTGGCCTCTGTGAATGGGAGGCGGGCGAAGTGGCCACAAGCGCGCTGTTTTCAGGGAACCGACTCGCTCACGGAGGTTCTCGGACACCTGCGGTCGGAGCTGTGGAGCGGAGGGGGCGTGAAGGAAGTGTTGTAAGGTTTTGGGTCCTGGAGGCCTGACCACCTGAAGGGTGGGTATATGAGGGGGCGTGTCCCGCTCTGTTTTGAGCCCAGGAGTGATTCGTGGAAGGGCTGGTATAAAGGGTGTTTGGTTGAGTGGGATTTGTGAAGAGCATCGTGTTTGGCGAGCCTTGATCCATGGGGTAGCGAGTGAGGTGTGAGGGGGCCAGGAATGAGGGGACCATTCTCCTCTTAGCGAGATGAATATCTATGAATGTGCTTAGTCGTTCCTGCGAAGTCTAGGACTTGCAGTGCAGTTTTTCTTACTGTGATTTTTTATTTCAAGTTCTTCATGACACATTCTTTTATGGTAGCTCCTACAATGAGACACTCGGGCTGAAGGGCCTGTAGTTTTGTAGGAAAGACCAAAATACTTAATAACTTAATAAAAACGTAGTTTCTATTTCTACCCAGTTCTTTCCTTGGTGTTCTGACCCTGAATAAACTACTGCTTCCTTTTCCATTTTCCTAAGGACAGAGGATTTAAACTGACTCTTGAAAGATTTAGGTTTGGGAAAGGAGACTAGAGAAAAGGGGAGTTCCAGGTCACAGAAGTCAAACAGGGTCAAGAAATGTTTAAGGAAGCCAGGTGTGGTGGCACATACCTGTAATCCTACCACTTGAGAGGCTGAGGCAGAAGAATTCAATTACTATTGAATAAGTATGGAAAAAAAGCATAAAGTCTTTTTTATAGGATAAGCAGGTTGAAGCAAGACTATCTCAAAAATAAAATGAAAAGGGCCTAGGATAAACCTCAGTAGTAGAGCACTTGCACAGCATGATGAGGCCCTGGCCTTAATTTCCAGTACCACGTAACAACACCAACAACAAATTGGCCTTTATAACTGGATAGATCTGGTCCAAGCATAGATCTGATCGGGCCTTGCTGGATCCAGAGACTCAGTGATCTAATTCTTGGCATTTGTTGCATTCAAGCAGGTTCTCCCCAGATATGAACAAGAATGACCAACACTAGCCTCTAATTTTTATATTCTCTTGGTTTTGCGCATCCAGTGAAAAGTGCGCTTTCATCAGCACAGCAAAAGCCCTGGAATCAAGTCACATTGAACTGATATGAGTCATATAGCTATTCTTCAATCAGTTGCTATGATCAACCTGATTGATATGTCTACCTCTTTGGAGAGGGTCAGCCTCATGCAAAACATGACAAGGGAAATACCCCATAAGGAAAACCAGGGTACTATTGTCAGAACAGGGGAAAATTGATACTGGGAAGATAAAAATAACGTAGCTGCTACAATAGGAGAGAGTCCTTTCTGTGTCACCAATTTCTGCAAACCCACATCCTCACCAGCATTTATTGCTTTCATATGTGTGTGCGTGGTGGGGGAGGGGTAGCACTAGAGATTTGCACTGAGCTACAGTCCCAGCTTTTTAAAATTGCTAAATTGCCCAGGCTGAGCTTGAACTTGAAATTCTCCTGCCTCAGCATCCTAGAGTGCTGGGATTATAGGTGTACACCACCATGCCTGGTTGCTTTCCATGTTCTTGATGATAGCCATTCTGACTGGGATAAGATGGAATCTTAGAAGGGTCGGGGATGTAGCTCAGTGATGCAGCGCCAGCGCAAGGTCCTGAGTTCAATCCCTGGTACTGGAAAAAAAAAGATGGAATCTCAGAGTTGTTTTGATTTGCATTTCCCTAATAGCTGAAGATGATGAACATTTTTTCATGTACTTATTGAACATTTGTACTTTGTCTTTCGACAAAGTATCTGATAGGAAAAAAGGAGGAAAAAAAAAAGCTACGAGCTCAACAGGACAGGTTTATTTCAGAACAAATCTGAGACTTCCCTGGTACTTAGACTGGCAATTCTCATATAGGCTATAAGGCCCTTTATAGGGTCATGAGCATAAAGACAGGTTGTGAAAGGATAAGATCAAAATGAGACTTTTAAAGGGGAGAGTTCAGTGAAAAGGAGTTGTGGCTACCTGTCAGGGACAAGGCTTGAGAAAATACAGGGACTGGTTGCTGCTTGTCAGGACCAGGACTGAAAAATGATGGGAGTTATAGGCTGTAACCATGGTTACTGGGCCTTATGAACCCACATTATATATCTTTAGCAGGTGTAAAATCATAGCAGAATGGAAGAGGCTTAAAGTGGCCTCTGGTCAGCCTAGGATGGTGGTCAGATTCCTTCAGTGTCTATTTAGTTCATTTACCCACTTTTTGATTGGGTTATTTGTTTTGAGGTGGGATATGTATTTTTTTTAGTTCTTTATATAGCCTAGATATTAGTCCTCTACCAGAAGAGTAGCTGGCAAAACTTTTCCATTCTGTAGCTTGTCTTTTCATTCTGTTGATTGTTCCCTTTGCTGTGAAGAGGTTTTTAATTTGATGTGGTCTCATTTCTTCATTCTTGATATTTTCTATACTATTAGAGTTCTGTTCAGGAATTCCTTCCTGTGCCTGTGGCTTCAAGTGCTTCTCCTGTTATCTTCCATTAGTTTCAAGTTTCTGTTTTTAATGTAGATCTTTAGCCTATTTTGATTTGTTTTTATTTCTAACAGGGTAGCATCTAGTTTCAATCTTCTGCACATGGGTAAGCAGTTTTCCTGGCACCATTTGTTAGAGAGGCTATCTTTTCTCTAATGTATGTTTTTGATCCTTTTGTCTAGAATAAGATGACTGAAAGTGTATGTATTTGTTTTCATGTCTTCTGTTCTATTCCAGTGGTCTACATGTCAGTTTTTGTGCCAGAACCATTGTTTTTGTTAGTATAACTTTGTTATATAACTTGAAATTCAATATTATGATGCCTCTGCTTTACTCTTTTTTGCTCAGAATTGTTTTGGCTATTCTGAGTCTCTTCTGGTTCCATATGAATTTTTTTTTTTTTTTTTTTTAGTTTCGTGAAGAATGTTGTTGGTATTTTAATAGGGATTGCATTAAATCTGTAGATTGCATTTGGTAATATGGCCATTTTAATTGTATTAATTCAGATCCAAGAACAAAAGATGTCTTTCCATTTTCTACTGTCCTCTTCAATTTTTCTTCAGAGTTTGGTAGTTTTCATTATAGAGTTCTTTCACCTTGGTAGGTTCATTCCTAGGTATTTAAATTTTTTTTTTGTTTTCCTTTTCTTTGAAGCTGTCATAAATGGAATTGTTGAGGGTTGGCATGGTGGTGCACGCCTCTAATCCCAGCACTGGGGAGGCTGAGTCAGGAGGATCTATGAGAGTTTGAGGCCAGCCTGGAAGTGAGTTCAAAGCCTGTCTGAACTATACAGTGAGACCCCGTTTCAAAAAAACTTAAAAAAAAAATAAATGGAATTGTTTTCCTGGTTTCTTTCTTGGTGGGTTCATTATTGGTGAATGGGAATGCTGTTGATTTTTGTTTGTTGATTTTGTATCTTGAAAATTAGGAATCTGTAGGCAGGCTGCTCCACTAGAGTTCATTATATTCCATCTTGTTTAGAAATCTGCCAGGAATACTATTGGAACCTTTTTGTCATATTTTTGTCTTTCCTCAGCCTTTGACCTAATGATTAGGAATTAATATGAATCTAGCTTCCTGAGTTCAGGGTAGAATCCAAGCTATTAGTGCTTAACTAGAAATTCACCTCTATTTAGCCAGGTATGGTGGGACATGCTGCTAATCCCAGCACTTGGATCACCTTGAGTTCTAGGCCAGCCTAGACTACCTATTGAGTTCAAGGCCAGCCTGAACTACATAGCAAGATTGTCTTTAAAAAAAATAAAAAATAAAAAATAATTCACCTCTAATGCAACGAAGCCAAGGTCAGGAGGAACACTTCTGATATCACTATCTCAAGCCAAAACAAAACTCCTTCTTTATTAAACAAGATAGTCAGTAAACCACATATAGCACTGGGTTGAACAATGAATTGTAATGGGAACACTCTTGTAATCATCAACATGAAGAATGAGACTTTTGCCACTCCATTGAGTGGCACTCTTCCCTAGGTGCCATCTCAGTCATAGCCTCCTCACTGTCCTCATGGGTAACTGTTAGCCTGACTTTCATAGTAATGACATCCTGGAATGTTTTTAAGTTTTATTAACCAAAATGAGTATCTCTAAACGCCATTACTTAATCTTGCCTTTAAAAACTGTGTGTTTCACAAGTCTCTCTTAATCTCTAAGGTCTTCATCTGACCTTTTACTTTTGTTAGTATTTATCTGAAGAATCTAGATCACATTACCTGTAGAGTCCCCCAAGGTTTGAAATGCTTTATTAAAAA